AAGCGCCATCGCGTTATTTCGATCGAAACGAAAGAAACGAGAGGAACGAAAGCTGGTTCGTCGTGTCGACGACCACCGAATGGAATCTTCTTTCGATACGTAATTATTGGCAACTATTATCGCCGAGAATCCGCGGCTTAGCGGCTTTTATCCGATAACGAGTCTCGATTCAAACATCTTACGTTCTCTCTCTCCCTCTCTCTCTCTCTCTCTCTCTCTCTCTTCGTTCCTTGCGTAATCTAATCGATGCAAATACGATTTCTGTATTGTGATCGAAGATTGTCGCTTGTTAACAACAGTAATAAGATATTGTATCGCGATGAACGGTTGAAGCGATTAGACCGTCGACTGGAGAACGGGGGTTTGCTCCAAAAAGTGGAGGGGGGATATAGGGCGTGATGGAGAGGCTGAGAGATTTTAATATCGTCCGATGGTTTTTGAATGGAGTGATATATTGTTGACTCGAGCCCGTTATGGCTGATAAGAAGACGAATCGAATCATCTGTCATGTCGGACGTTTATCAAGCTCGAGATAGTTTAAGCTCTGCTCCGTGTGTTGTATATGTATGTATGTGTGTGTGTGTGTGCGTGGGTGTGTGTTTATAGAAAACGAACAGAGAGATTATTCTTCGATCTTCGTTCTCTAACTACGCGCTTATTCCACCTCATCTTCCCTGAAATATTTAGTTATAATTAATTAAAATTGATTTTCTTTTTTTAATATGAATAGTTCCGATCGCTTTACTGTGCGAAACGAGACAAGTATTTAATTATAATAATATTCGAATAACGCGTAATTTAATTAAAAAATTAAGTAAGTAATTCTAAATTAAACGTTAAAACGAATAATAAATATTAATTTTAATTATCGTAATATTAAATGTAACGTTTACATTATTTCCGTAAATATCCGTACGAATACTGCAATGTTTCTTTCAGCGAGAAAATTTAAAATCTTAGCTTTCTGAACTCGGAATAATATTTAAACAAAACCTTATCACCCAAAATAAATTACAACTTAATTTAATCAATTTTTTCAATTTAATACCTAACTCCTCCTATTCGATCTTGGATCATTTGGAGCGTAGCGTACGTCTGATCACTCACGTCCGGATCTACTGCCACGAGCACGCGACCAACGTCTCTTTCACCTGTCGACCCCGTGCGATCAATCGCGCGTGTACGCGCAATCATCGATCAGATATCTCTTAAAAACAAGGCTCCAGTGTCCCCAAAACTTGCGGGGGAAGGGAGGAGACCACGCACTACATCACGCCCATAATAAAATCAATTCACGTCACGTCGTTGGAAATTAGTTTCACGCGAGTTCCTCCGCTCGAACAACAGAGGCCTGCCGGCGCGCCATCTCTATACACAACCATCTATATATATATATATATGTATATGTATATATATGTATATACATATATATATATATACACAGATAAGATCGACACGCGCGAAACGAAGCGAGGAAGCGGGGCAATCTGGCCTGATATAATTCCACGGTAATTGCCGGAATCGTTGCATCGTGTTGATCGCCGTTTGCGCTTGGCACTTCTTTATGCGGCCCCTGTTAATTCACAGGTTTATAATTAACCGGAGCCCCTTGAAGCGGCCGCCGAACGAGGGGTGGCTCGTTACGGGGCGCGGCCTTGATAACAACCCCGTCGAAACGAGATCGTTAGAAAAAGCTCCCCCCCCCCTTCCCTCCCCGGTTGCTTGTTCCGGTTGTTTCATTAACGTTATTGCCCAAATCCGACGCGCGGTCGAACCGCGATATTTAATGGCATCGAGTGTATCTGTACGCCCAGCCTACGTTTACGATATAGGCCTATCTATTTTTAATTCGTCGGGATTTCGTTTCATGAAGTCAGAAATTTTTTATCTTGAATCTTCGCCAAAAAATATTCGAGAATAGTTTAATTCTTTTTTTTTTTTTTTTGAATATATTAGCGCGCAAAAGAGACGCTGTTTCCTTTTGGGAAGATTCAAGATAGAGCCAAATACAAATTCACGGAATTTGTATTTTATTTGTATTACACCACAGCTTTCGAAAAAAAAAAAATACTGCACTTATTGCACGATCTCAAATGTTTCCTTTTGAGAAGATT